TTATTATTATTATTATTGTTATTATTATTATTATTATTAGTGGGCGAATTTGCAACGTTGTGAAAATACATCTCGAGTCACGTTACAGTCAATGTATCCGTGATTAAAGACGCATTTTGACTCTGCTGAGATTTGGATTTGGGTCACATAAATGTGCACCCGAGTTTAAGAATGTAATTTATTAAATACGCGCCTAAAGCGACTAACGTATCATTATTTTGGGTAGGGCCGTGAAATTTGCTAAATGGCCCGTTTCAGAATCTAAGCAATTTTAAAGCAAATATTTATTGAGGGCCCCACAATTTTTGCATTTTTATTCGGCGAGGCTCATCTCATTCTTATTATTAAAAGGGCAATCCTAGAAGTGGCTAAGGTTTTCTATTAAATTTGTCTCTAAATATGAAAAAAATAAAGTCCTAATTAGTTGAACATGCTTGAAAAGTCCGGGCCCTTTAATAACTTCTGCAAATTCGATTAGTTCCGAAATGTCGTTACAGAGTAAAACGCACTGGAATCCTGGCATGATTCGAGCCACCGGAAATTGCTAACTCACCACATCACGCGAGCCTACTCTTGCTCGTTACCTTAGCTAACAATCTTAGACTTACAACTATGCTTCTTTTTCCTTAAAGTGTTGCAATACCTTTTGAGTAACAATCGAGGGTAAGATTAATGCTAAGATCTAGTTGACCGAGAACTCAAACAATCATGCTACAATCCGAGATTAGTTAACAACCTACTAGCCATTTCCGGGATCAAACCGCAAGTGCTATTTTGCAAATTATCGGAAGTTATATCCAACATTCATTACATGGCCAAGTTCTGATTGAATACGAGCTAAACTACATTACTCCAATACACGATCTAACACCTAGCAGTTTTATGCAATCCCTTACAAACAACTAGAATGATGAAACTATATTTTTACAAATTACAGATTCAGCAATGCCTTAAGGAACTAAATAAAACAGTAACAACAGGTTTTAAACAAAACAAATTTGCTTTTTCTGGTTTCCATTTCAACTTCAACTTTCACATGAATTCATGCTTCACATTTTTCGGCTTACAACAAACAGGATAAAGTCGTGTACCTGATAGAGGAACAGAAATAGAGTAGAAAAAGAAGTCAGCTGCAGTTGCAATAGCACAATAGCAGATTCAGCAAACAGCAGTAACCAAAAACAGCCCAGCAAATAGATCAAGACCCAACAACAGCTTCAGAAAATACCATGCAGCAACACCAAATGACCCAAAAAAACTTGAGTTTGCAACAGAAGATAGACCCACAGATTTCCAGAAAAATTCCCACAGCTCTCAATGCCACAGTAACAGAGGTAAATACTGATTTTTTAACAGCAAAATGAAGCAGATTTTTCCTTCTTAAATATCAAAACCACTGAACTTTAGTGTAGGAACCTCTAGCCTACTCCCCCTATTAAAGTTAAATTTCCAGTTTTTATCCTCTTCTTTTCTCTCTGGTCTCTTAAGATTTTTTAGCCAAAAGAAAAACCAGCCCTTGTTTCTCTAAAAATCAGCCTATTAATAGGCCAGAAATGGCAAGACCCCAGGCTGCCTTGATCCCTTCAGCTTTTTCTGCCCATACCCCTTTGATTCCCATGCCTAAGTGTCCTTTATTGATCCCTACTAAGTTGTCCCCCATGCTTGTCCTATTTGTTTTAATCAAAAGTCATGGGTGTATTATAATACTCACTTAATTCCCATGTCTTGTTGTTTTGTTCCCCATTGTCATTAAAATAAGCTTAATGAGTGACCCCTAAGCAGACCCCATCCTTAACAGCCTGTTAGTATGTTACTAAATTTCAAGAATTACCCCTTAACCCTTGCATATTACTGTACTACCCTAAGACTTACTTGTCTGAACTTACCAACTATATAAGCTTAACACTGATTTCTGATTGATCTCCTAGATTTCTACATCTATATCCAATACTCAGCCTAAGTTCAACTTAAAATCAGATTACAAAGGGGTGTCAATCAAGTGAAATAAGTTGATCAAATTGGGGAACCAATCCTGATCAACTTAAATCAAACAAACAACAGGGAGCAAAAAATGATGAAACAGTGGCAATCAGGTTTCCATGGTCAACTATGAAGAACAGGGGATTACTGAATGAACGAGCAATCTAGTTCAAAGACAAAAACTAAACATATTCAACGAGTTCATTACAAGTTAGCATAGCAGATGCTGAACGGGTGTATACATGGAGAACATCAATGAACATTATCATGTATCCTCTGATTTTAAACAAATTAATTGACGACACTTATTTGAACGACTATACAAGCTATAATATACAGCAGGCAATCAAATAAAACATTAAAACAAACTAAACACTATCTCAGGGTTCACAGATTTGACAGAAAAATCAGAAACAAACCACCAAACATGAAAGACAGATAGAATCCACAAGAGAACAAAAGAAAAGGGAAAATTACCTCAGGGATTTGAAATTAAAACTGCCTCAGGCTCGAACTCGGACTCGACCATTTTTGGGGTCGAATGGACTTTAATCGAAGTGTTCTCAACTGAAAACACCTCGGTTAAAGTCTATTAGACCCCTATCTTTTGTTGATTTGGACAGACCCCATAAATCTGAGTTCTAGGGTTCTTGGGGGTCTGATTTGGGATTTGTTCAGTCCTGGTCAGACTCGAACGGAACCAAGGTCATTCAGGGGGTGAGGAAGGTCAGGAGGTGTTGTGGTGTGAGTTTGGGGTCGGTGGGTGTAGATCTGTTTGTTGCTCGAATCTTCGATTGAAGATTCGAGAAGTTGCAGGGTGATTCGAGGTACACGGTTGGTAGATTCGTGTTCAGGGTGGTTGGGTGCATCAGGGGTGTTGTTTTGGTGGCCATCGGAGTCCGGGTNAGAGGCGAGCATTACGGACAAAACCTTTATCAAAATGTCACGCAAATTCCCAAAATTGTGTACAGATGAAATTTGTTTCATTTTTGATTTCTTTTGAAGTAGTTTTTCCGTGAAGCAAAAATCACATGCTCACAATAAGTCATCAACATCATCATGATTTTTAACCATGTTTGCTTGACCCTTCTTCTTGTCTTTCTACGGAGCACGACACTCCGTAGATTTGTGTCTGATTTTTCCACAGTTGTAGCAGTTTCCAATGAACCGCTTCTTGCTTGGGCTGTATTTCGGTCCAGAAGCCTTCTTCCTCTTTTTATTCTCTTCAACAATATTTGCTCCCATTATTGTTGAGTTCTCACGGCCTCTCTTTTCAGCAGCTTTGTTGTCCTCTTCGATTCTCAACCGAACAATGATATCTTCAAGGGACATCTCCTTGCGTTTGTGTTTCAAGTAGTTTTTGAAGTCCTTCCACAAAAGAGGCAACTTCTCAATCATTGCTGCTACTTGGAATGCTTCATTGATGACAAGACCTTCAATGAAATTTCTGTTAGTAAAAATACTAAGATTAATACTTTCAACATCAATATTAATTTGATTTATACCTTCAGCAAGGAGATCATGAATATTCACTTGCAATTCCTGGACTTGGGTAATAACAGACTTGCTATCTACCATTTTGTAGTCCAAAAACTTTGCAGCAACGAACTTCTTTAATCCGACATCTTCGGTTTTGTATTTCTTTTCAAGCGCAGTCCACAGTTCTTTTGACGTTTCCACGCCACTGTAGACGTTATACAAAGCATCCTCCAGCCCACATAGAATATAATTCTTGCACAAAATATCTGAATGCTTCCACGCCTCAGTCACGAGAAAGCGTTCATTTTCTGGAGTTTCATCGGATAACATAGGAACATCTTCCTTGATGAACTTCTGGAGACTTAAAGTAGTCAAATAGAAGAACATCTTTTGCTGCCAGTGCTTGAAATCAACCCCGGAAAATTTTTCAGGCTTTTCCGCCGGTGCCAATGCTGCCGGTGTTGTTCGGCTCGTTGAGGCATTGGCAGTCACCATCGGAATAGCTTGGTTTCCGTTATCATTAGTCATTTCTGTAAAAGAATGACACAAACGTGAAAATCACGTAAATTTTAATCTCTAATAGAATACAAAACCACAAAGGTTTTACTCTCCAAAAACAGTAAGTACAAATACAGAAAATATATTAAATTCCTTAAGCTTGTTAGTATACTGTATTTGTAAAATAATTCTGGAAATATAAATGAATATAAACAAAAATGACAGAAAACCAATCCGAGCCCACTGAATTCACAGTGTTTCCTTAAGAATTTTAATCCCCTCCTAGTACCCAAGGTTATGGATTATTTCCTCCCAGGATAGAACGAATTACACACTGGTATAGTGGTACTTCAAACCCCAGTGTTTCAGCGAACACAAAGTTCAGTAGCAAATCACACTTACTATTGCTTTGTTTGATTCTAAAAATATACAGAAGGAGGAGAAACTCAGAAAATCGTAGTGAAATTCTGAGCAGAATGGTGTTGTATTTATAGTTAAAGTTGGGCTGAAATCTGAAGAGGTGCAACTCTTCAGAATGACTGTTTCTGCAAAATGGCCACAGCATAAATGCCATTACATAAATGGCTATTTACTCAACAATAAAGAGGAAAAATAAAGAGGGAAAATTGAAGAGGGTAGTTAATTTTCTGTTACCAAAACAGAAAAACGGATTGGATTTGGTCCAAAAAGTTAATCAATCAATTGACCAAATCCGATGCCGAAGTCGAGCCGAGCGAGCGGCGACGACGACGACGACTGCGCGAGGCTTGCCTTCTTCTCAACTCTTTAAGAGCTAGAAGAAAAGCAATTGCTTATATACCCATAAAAAACCTATTCTCTTCCAATATGGGACAATGTCCATTTACCAAGGGGGAACTTAAAATTTTTACTCAAAAATTTCATTTCCCTCCATTTCTCATTCACCATCTTTTAAGTATTTAATATATTAATTAAATACATAAAAAAAAAACCAACAATGGCATCCACTCTTATTCACCTCTAAATTGCTCAAACTTCCGAAATGGCAGTTAGCCACTATTTGTTCAGCTAGCTACACATTGCTTTTCTTCCTCCTCAGAGAAGGGTTTCCCGATAAACTCTGCCAACTTCTTCAAATACCACAACGTGTCCCTTTTCAAATCTTCGTATTGTATGAACATCACTTTTTCTGGTGTATCTCTGCTTGCTTTCCAGAATTCATAGACATGGTCCCAGTAAGGTCCATAAGCTAATTTATCTTCAAGAAACCACTTGAATTCTTGTTCCAGTGTAGTGGAATTGTTTCTAATTTCAGAAATGTTTTCTTTAAGCCTTTGTTTGTAATGCCATGTTGAAACAAAGGTGTCTTTAGGTTTTCTACATATGTAAATGATCTTACATTTGGACTCTAATATAGATGGTGGTAAGCATATGTAAGGAAGATGTGTGGGCAACAATGGCAACTCGGTATCTTGAAAAGTAAGTTTTTTGGTAGAATTAATTTCCATTGTTGGTATACATTCGTGGGGAACTTTAGCAAGTAAAGGATTTGTAGAGTCAACAAAAATATCCCTAGTTATAATAGAAAAGACCAAAGCTTTAAGCCAAGTGGTACCAGTTTTTGGAAGACCACATAGGAAAATATCAGAGGGTTGAGCATTGAAGTTTTCTTGTATAGATAAAGTTGCTTCTAAGAAGATTGAAGGGAACCAAAAGCCTTTGTATTGATAGTAATCAATAGAAGTATGGGGGCCTTCTCTTTTGGGGAGGGTTGAAATTAACTCTTTGTATTTCATGCTCATAATCTCCTTGGAATTGTTTGATAAATCAGCAAACGACTAGCCCTAGAAGGGGAAGATGGGCCTCGTTTTAATTTGGTGAAGGAAGTGAAAGGGGTAATTTCAAGAATCTAAAACTTGATCCTGATATAGTAGACAACTAACTCCATTCATGATATATATAGAAGACTAGGGTGACAAACGGACGAGCCGGGTCGGATATGGGCAGGTCGAAAACGGGTAATGCAAAAATGGATAAATTATCCGACCCAACCCATATTTAATACGGATAAAAAACGGGCTCACCGGCGGATAATATGTCAAAATAGCACGGGCTAGCTAGTTTTCGGACTGGTCATTCAAAAATAGCTAGCATTTGCCAAGTCATTGAAAAATAACCACTATTTTGCTGCAACAGAGACCGGTCCAGTAGTATAATATATTGGGGTGATTATACTGGAGTTCCAGTATATTATGCTGCTGTATTTTTCGGATTTTGAATAGTGTTTTCGTTCAGATTTATCTTTACATAAAAAGTGCTAAATTTCGATGACTTTTGAAACTGTGACTATTTTTGAATGACCACTTGTATCTGACTATTTTTAAATTTCTCCGGATAATATGGATATCCATATTATCTATGACGTCTTGAATATAATCACTTTGAGAGAATTCCTAGTCTCCCAAACTTGAGGAATACCTAATTTGATGCTTTGAAAATATAAAAGTTAAACACATTAGTTATCCATTGGTTACCAATTTTCTAGGTGGATAATATAGCTCATATCTATATTTGACCCGTTTTTAAAAAATTTCATTATCCAACTCATTTTTAATGGATAATATGAGTATATAACTATTTTTCTTTAACCATTTTGCCACCCCCTATAGAAGGCAATACTCGTGAATTACAAATAAGTCCTTTGATTGTGGTATAATCTTATCTAAATATTTAAGAATCAATTAACCTTAACACTTTTTAAAAAAAATCAATTTTATAGTAAAACATTAAATACTACTCCCTCTCGTTTTGATTTATATGGTGTAGTTCGACTGGCACATGAAGTTTAAAAAATCAAGAAATATTTTTGGAATTTATGGTCCTAAGTATGTCATGAGTTTTCTGTGGCTATAAACATATTATTAAGGATAAAATGAGGTATTTAAAGTTAAATTACCTCTAAATATATAAAAATATTATTCTTGTTGAATAAACAAATTACAAAATAATGTCACATAAAATGTCACATTGTTTTGTTATTTCTGACTCTGGCCTTCTGCTTGAGTATAGAATCTTGCCTTTCAGCCACATTATATATTCTGCCTGTGATTATCCCCTCAAACTGATGATCTCTTGGATAGTTGGGTTGCCTCATGTCAGTTAGTCATGTATGAGTTCATTTCTATTATTAATTCCCTCGGATAAAATCTTATATTTGAATGCTAAATAGTTGTACTTCAAGTTTTTTTGATTATTCTTGGGGTTTATTATTAATTAATTGGATTCTATAATTAATTTATCTTTACTTTCCTTCTATCCTAGAATTAGTGATTCATTGTTGAGTTACAAAGTACGTTAGCTAATTATTTAGTTAACTTCTTATAATTTTCGACTTTAATTACTAATTTTATATCCTTTACTTGTTCTTGGTGTTCTTGACGTGGGTTGAAGAAAAAAGAGAAAATTTAAGTCTTAGGCATTGAGATATTAAAGTCTTTCTCCTCCTTAAATCTTACTCTTCTCCGCAACTTTTTCTTTCATGTTACACATGTTCTAAGAGAATTTTTGCGGAATTGGCAATCTTCTTTATTTGCCATTTCAATAGTCAATGAGGTACTTTCCGTAGGATAATGGGATAATATCATAGGCTTAATACATAGTTAACCACCCAACCTTTGGTCCAAATCCTCCTTACACACTTTCTATGAACGATAATAACCTTACATAAGAAACCTTTCTAAAGTGTATTTAGTACCCATCTCCTTTGACCAGATCCTGTTAATAGGACATCCGTGTATGTCACGCGTTTGAATTTACATAATTTTAACCCATTACCTTATAATAACTAACCCGACCCTAACTGACCCTATCCGACCCACAAGGTAAAAGCGTTAAAATCAAACTTACCCAAGTCAGTACTCAAAATCCGATACATCTAGAAGGAGCTACTGTAAAGGTGATTCCGGCGACCATCTCAAGCTACGCTTTCATCGTGGATTTCCGGTGGATTTATGCAGTTAATAGGTTAGTAATTTTCTTCTCCTTGCATTACCTGTTTATTTTAGTAGTGGGTGGGGCTGAACCTAGGGGTTTTTTTTGAAATTTCTTCTATTTTGCTTAGGGTTATCGAACTTTTTAAAAGGGGAATCTTTTGTCATTGTCGATATGACTGTGAAGTTGTCGTCTTGTTGCCTTTACAGATAGTTTTTTTTTTATAAAAAAGATTTGTCTTGTGTTTGCAAACCGTGTCTAAAGTTAGGGTTTAACTGATTATTGTAATAGCATTGCTTTGAACAATGTGATATGCTCTTGTCTTTGTCTTCACTTTTATATTTCATTTGTAGTTCTTTATTTTCAATTGTTGCATGTGAAAAGTCCATTTATTTGTCCCTTGTTTATTTGCAGATAATGTCTTTTAAAATCATTACCCTCAGGTGGTACCTCGTAACTTTGCTCGTTATGTGGGTGGTAGTCAAACATTAACTTTAGATGTAGATGTGGATTTACTGTCTCTTATTGAACTGATGAACTACACTAGGATCTATGACTTTCAAAATGTGGCTGAGTTGTATATTTGTCCAATGGATAGGACAGATAAATTTGTAAATATTCTCACAGACAAGGATATTTTAGACATTTGTAATGAATTAGAAGATGGGAATACCTTAGATATTTATGTGACTCATGCTGCCCCTTTATGTGTTGTTGACATAAATGAGGCTAGTAAAGGGGTTGGTGGGTCTAATAGTTGAGCTTTTAAGAGCACAACTGTCTTAGAAGAAGAGGAAGATAGTGAATCTGAATCTGAATCTGCCCTGCTCATGAACCTACCCCTTCCCCTTCCCCTTCCCCTTCTCCTAAACCTGCTCCTTCCCCTGCACCTTTAAGAGAACAAGAGAGTAGAGTAGATAGTGAATCCGACTTTGATAATAGTGAAGGTGAGGGACAATGAGAATGTTCAGACTTTGACAATAGTGATAGTGATGAGAGTGATGGAGTAGATTAACATGTTCCTGATGATAAGGATTATGGATCTGATGTTCATGAAGAATTCATAGAGTATAGGGATGAACTGAGAAAGTATAAGAGGAAAAAGAGTGAAAGGCCAAAGGATAGAGGTGATATTAACATAGGTGATGCAGGAGTTGATATTGGTTTTGATGAATTAGGAACTGGTAGCAAGCAAGATAGGTACACAGGCTTAGTAGGGATAGATGAGCCTTACTTTGGGTCTTCAGATGCTGAAGATGAATTTGATGAAGAACATAAGGAGAAAATGGATGCCAAGTGGAGGAAGAAAGCCCTGATATTTGATCCAACTGTCAAGAAAATAACCTGGGAGTTGGGGATGATTTTTTAGAGTGTTGAACAATTTAGGTTTGTTGTTAGTAAGTATGCAATTCAGAAAGGAGTTCAAATTGAAAAGTATATTAATGAACCTGGTAGGGTGAGGGTAAGATGCATGCATCCAAAATGTCCATGGATCTTAGCTGCAAGAAAAGATGGCAGATCCAACAATTTTAAGGTAAAAAGGTATTGCCCTGTCCACAAGTGTTACAAAATAAATAAAAACAAGTTTTGCAACTCCAGATACCTAGCAAAGCATTACATGGATAAGATTGTGTGTCAACCAAATATGAAAGTTTGGGAGCTAAAGAAACTCATTAAGGATGAACTGGACATGTATGTTTGTAGGTCTACAGTACATAGAGCTAGAGCAAAAATTCTAAAGGAGATAATAGGTGATGTGCATGCTGAGTTCAAGAGACTCTATGATTATAGAGATATTCTATTACAGACAAATCCAGGTACAACTTGTGTTGTGAAGGTAGAAGATCAAGGTGAAGGCAAGCTTGTCTTCAATTCATTTTATGTTTGCTTCTATGCTATGAAAAAGGGACGGTCTGAAGGTTGCAGAAGGATAATTGGCCTTGATGGTTGTTTTCTAAAAGGCATTTGTAAGGTTCAACTTCTTGTAGCAGTATCAAAGGATGGAAATAATCAGATGTTTCCTATAGCTTGGGCCATTGTAGAGGTTGAGAACAGTTTCACTTGGACATGATTTCTGAAGTGTGTGACTCATGACTTAGAGCTTCAAGATGGAAGGGATCTTACTATCATGTCTGATATGCAAAAGGTGAATAGATTCTTCTGTTTCTGTTTTCTGTCAATATTTATTTTTTCTAATTTCTGTTTCTGTTTCTGTTGGAAACTAATTTAATTCTTTTTATGTTTAAGGGATTGCTTAAAGTTGTATCAGAAGTGTTGCCTGAAAGTGAACATAGGTGGTGTGCCAGACATATATTAGCAAACTGGTCCAAAGATTGGAGATGATTAGAGAGGAGAAATAAGTTCTGGAGGTGTGCTAGAGTATCATGTGTGGCAGAACTGAATTTTCACCTGGACAGTTTGAATATGCTTGGGAATGGGATATGTGAGAGCCTCTTGAGGTATAACAAGGAAACCTGGTGCAGAGCATACTTCAACTGTGACAGGAAATGTGATATAATTGACAACAATATGTGCGAGACATTTAATGCTTGGATATTTGCTGCTCGGCACAAGACAATTATCACAATATTGGAGGAAATTAGAGTGAAGATAATGGAGAGAATAGGAAAGTTGAGGGAGTTTGCAGATACATGGGTATGTGATATATCCCCAATTTCTATGAAGGTGTATCAGGATAACATGGCCCAATCTATGAGGTGTACAATCAAGTGGAATGGTGAATATGGCTATGAGGTTGAGGATACCTCATTAAGAGTGGTGCTGAAGCATTGTGTGAATATGCAAGCTCAAACTTGTACATGCAGGTCATGGATGCTGAAGGGTATCCCTTGTGCTCATGCCATTGCTGCTATGCATTTCAAGAACCTTGACCCAATTAACTACATATCTCACTGGTACCACAAATCCACCTATCTGAAGGCATATTCAACATTCATCTAGCCTATGTCAAACCTGCAGATGTGTCCAACATCTACCAATCCACCAATTAAAAAGATGCCTGGCAGACCAAAGAAGAAGAGAAGAAGAGAAGAAACTGAACATCCTACTTCTGGAAAGCTTTCAATGGGGTATGGAGATGACATGTTCAAACTGTGGTGGATATGGACACACCAAGAGGAGCTGCCCTAAGAAAGCAAGGCCTGCAGATTCTACTCCAGCAAATGCTTCATATATCCAAAGATGTGGAGGAAGAGGAATAGGCATAGCAAGAGGAACAGGAACTCCAACTACTTCTGCCCCTGCTGCTGCTGGTAGAGGTAGAGGAACTACTGCTAGTAGAGGAAGAGGAACTGGCAGTGGTAGGGGAAGTTCTGGGTTTGGACTATTTCAATCAAGCAGTGGGTTCACAAGTTTTTCAGTAAGTAGTTCAAAGTTAATTTTATATCTTGTTTGCTTTAACAACTTTACTGAATATTTTCTGTTTTTGGCAGTCTGGTGGAGGTAGGCCAAGAGTGGTCTTTCATGGTGGTGAAAATAGGTCCTCGACAGATATTCTGGAGTGAGCATACAAGCCAAGAAGTGGTGTAAAATGGAATGGTAGATCAGCCATTACTAGAAGACAACTTGAAAGAACTGCTGCAACTCGTTCCAGAACTGCCTCATCTCAATCCAATTTAAGTCAAGCAAGGTCATCATCCCAGCCATCCCAGAACAACCACTGAATTCTGTTATTGTCACTGTTAATTTATTTTGGAACTGCTGTAATTTCCCTTTGGAACTATAATTTATTTTGGAGCTGCTGTTAGGTTAATTCGGAACTGCTATTTAGGTTTGCTGTTAGTGTTGTTATTTTGTTAAGGCAGCCTGCTGTTATTTTGGTATGGTGTAAAACTGGGCAGCGTATATTTTTGTTAAGGCAGGCTGCTGCTATTAGGTGACTGTAATGAACACCTTTACTCTATGATGAAATATATTTTTAGTATTGTTTGATAATTTCTGGGCAGATGTGTCTTTAGTGTTGTATGAATGCTGTTATTTTGGTATGTTGTTAAGCATTTGTGCTGTCATTTTTGTATGTTGTTATTTCTGAAAAATTTCAGCATTTGAGCTGTATATCAGCCACTATTTGACTGTGTTTCAGTGTTTTATCAGTCACAATNTACACACAATCTCTTCCAATTTCTATGGTTTCTATTTTCCTTCAACAATGCATCAAATGCCCTCTTCTTCTTCAGCAGCCCCAAAATCACCATTTTCAAGTGCTCTGGAGTTGGGGGGGTCAAACCACATAAAGAAATTACATGCCGATCGTCTGTCCCTCTGAAAAATTGAAGAGAGAAAATTATTACGGAATATAAAATCGATTAGAAAAGTACAATTGATATTTACCTAATAAAATGGACATCCGTAAAATCGACGACCAGGATTATCAACACTCCATGACTATATCACCACAGCTTCTTCACCACAATAGCAAATTTTTCTCAGATTATGCATTTTCCCAGACCTTAAAATTGAGCCCTCGAAATTTAACCCTTATGTCAAAAAAGATAAGGAAGAAATAGAAAAAGATTGTAATATTGGCTTCGAGCTTTAAGAAGAGGAATAAATTTTGGCTTCAAGAAGATAAAATTTCTTCATTTTAGAGCTTTCAAGGAGGAAGAAGAAGATAAAAATCGGGTTAGTATAGATAGAAATGGGTTAAGACCCTTTTAATATTTTAAAAAGGGTCGTTGGAATGTGTTTTTGACCGTTTATTAAAGACAGAAATTGTCTTGAAATAGTGTCCACGCGCTTGGTCTAGTTTATATTACACACGCTTAGACCTGGTCAAAGAAGGTGTGTACTAGGCACACTTTAGAAAGGTTGCATGTGTAAGGTTATTATGGTCCACAGAAAGTGTGTAAGCGGGATTTGGGCCATAGTTCGGGTGGTAACTTATGTAATTTTAATTGTCTCGATGAATGGGCCCCAGCTGGGGATGGGAAGAACCAGGCTGATTCGGCCAGCATAGGCGGAGGTAGGATTTGAACTTTATGGGTTCGAGATTATAATCCTTTTAAGTTACTGGGTCCTAAATTAATAATTTGTACATGTTTATTGGATTTCTTAATACAAATACAGGGTTTGAAAAAAAAATTAGTGGGTTAGGCCTAACCCGCAACTAACATTGTGGCTCCGGCCCTGGATCCGGGTATGTATTTGCACCATTAGAAAAGAGCAACAAAAGAAGAATCCCTTCCCGACGATGGCTTGGAGATAACTCGAATGAGAAGACCGTTTTGTATCCGTTTTACTGAATTAAAAGATTGACTCGCATCATTTGGAACATATAAGTTCGATATAGATAACAATGAATAAAAATTAGGCTCTGTAACTTCTGGAATTGAAAGAGGAAGCATTTTCAAGCCCGAACGAGATCAAATCACTACTAGAAATTCGGTCAAAATCGACCGCGGCCAACCGACCAAAAAACCGATCAATGTCGGTGCAAAAATGCGGGAAACTATTTTAGAATCCCACGAAATTTATTTTTTAAGAAACCGACCGAAATCGGTCGGTTTTTCATATAAAATAAATTAAAATCAATATTCAAAAAACTGATCGAAATCGGTCGGTTATTTCAGTCAGTCATTTTAAAAAATCGGCCGACTTCGGTCGGTAATTTTATATTTTTAATAAAACCGACCGAAATCGATTGGATTTTTTCGCACGAAAATAAAATTAAGGAGTACAAATAAATTAAAAGAAAGTCTTAAAACAAAATGTACCAATTGTCCACTGGTAGAATAGTATCATGCCACAGTACAGACCCTGGTTCGAGTCCCAGACGATATATTTTTTAATTGCATAATTAAAAATACTGACCGAATTCGGTCAGAAAATACCGACCGACTTCGGTCGCTATTTTCAGATTTTTTCTTTTTGGGTCGTTTGTGAAAATTAATTTACCAACCGAAATCGGTTGAAAAGTGCGACCGACTTCGGTCGCTATTTTTACCGACCAACATATTTTCGACCGATTAAAGTCGGTCGGAAATAGAACGGTTTTTTCAGATTTCCAATCGCTTTCGGTCGGTATTTCTGGACGGTTTTAGACAGTTTACTAGTAGTGAAAGAATTGATCGACTTCTAGAATAATAAAATAGTTATCTACTAGTCATGTTTTCTTTCTATGATATTATCATAGCGTAGGAATCCAGAGATTTTGGAAGCTGAATAGGATCTCTTTTTGCGTCTAATGATGCTTTTGAAAGAAATCTTTAGATGAAGGATTAGTTGGCTATATGATTTTCTTTTCATTGGTCATCGGGTTTGATATCTTAAAAATGGAAAAATATCACGTGTTTTAGGAGTTTACGGGATCAGCAACCTGTTTTAGTTGACTATTATTGTACAATATCTATACATGTAAAATAGATAATTATGTAAAACTATTATTAGTTAAAGGTTTTAAAAAAGTGACTTACTAGCTATTAACATTTAATTTGAAGTATATCTTAAAATTTATAGTGTTGCTAAAAATTCTGGCTGAGCGAAATTAATAGTAAATCATTATGGCAACCACTATCACAGAACAACACAACAAAAAATTGCCACCAACTATACTTTGCAGTTTATATTTCTTCAACATGGGGTTATTTGCAGTTCAATTCTCTTGGATGTTTTGCATACTCCCCACGGCACACAATGGCGGAGCCACATGCATTCAAAGGGTGTCGTCTGACACTCCTTAATAAGAAAATTACACTGTGTAGTTAGGTAATTTTTTTAAAATATGTATATATATACTATGTTGTGACACCCTTTGACTTCTTGGTGAGTTTATTTCTTTATATTTTGACCCCTTTTAATGAAATTCTGGCTCTATTGTACGCAACCTTACCCTGCATTTATGCAAGAGACTATTTTCACGGTTCGAACTTGTAACCACCTGGTCACATGATAACAACTTTACCCGAGCCTCCAAGGCTCCCTTCTAATTCAGACTCAACTAAACTATCAAAATAAAAAAATAGAAAAACGAAAAAGAGATCATCAGTTCCTTTAGTTTTCTATCCTTCCAATTTAACAACAGCATGAGTCTGAGAATTTTACATGAGCTTTTGTTAATGGTGTTTTTCTTTTCTTATGTTATCTTTATTGATCGGGTAACTGTATTTATAGGGGTTGGCTTCCTCTTGTCGAGTAATATGTTTTCTCAAAAACAGCTACATCAAATATTCATATTATAGCAAGTATCTACTCCACCAAACTTTCTTAAAATGGCTATCAACATTGCTTCATCTTTAAACCATAGTGAAAATGACATTAAAAATGGAGATGTTGTTGTGGTGATGGTACCTTTTCCAGCACAAGGACATATCTCAGTCAACTCCTTCATCTCTCTCGTCTTGTTTCTCCCTACAATTTACCAATCTATTATGTTTGCTTTAGCGACAAAATTAAGCAGGTTAAACTTCGTGTTCATGGTTGGGATCCTCTTACCACTTCTAACATCCATTTCCAAGAATTCCCAAATCCGCCATCTCATGAATTCTCTCAATATTTTTCAAATACATCTTCTCATCAAACCGAGTCACACTTTGTACTACCCATACTTGATGAGTACCTTATGTTGCGCGAGCCTGTAGGTGCATTCTTACTAGAGGTTGCCAGAAAAACGCGTAGAGTGGTGGTCATTTATGACTCTCTAATGGCTTGTGCTGTTGAAGCCATAATTTCTATACCAAATGCGGAGGCCTATTGTTTTAATCCCTCATCTGCTTTTATGGTTAGTTCCACATATTGGGAAGTTGCACTGAGACGACTTGATGTTTTCAGCGTCAATACCACACAAGGGGATGATTTGTGTCGTATCCAATTTTCGATCTAGAAGAACCAGGTTCTTCTAGGTGTTCTAACTACTACTGTTTGCGGAATTAAACGTACATAAAATAAAGAACACAGAGATTTTTACGTGGAAAACAACTGGCTCAAAAGGTGAAAAAACCATGACC